AATGCTTCGAGTTTCTGGTCCTTACGCCTCATTATCTTTCTGCTTTCTACCACCACTCTCTGGGATTAAAAGCTGGCTTTCTGGGATTAAAAGCGTGTGTCACCATGCTTGGCTGTTTCCAATGTGACCTTGAACTCACAGAGATCCAGAGGGATTTCTATCTCTGGAATGCTAGGATTAAAGGCATGAGTGCCACCATTTTCTAGCCTCTGTATCTAGTGGCTGTCTGTTCTCTGACCCCAGATAAATTTATTAGGATACACAATATTTTGGGGAACACAATACCACCACACACACCCCTAAACTAAACACTAAGTTTGATTTTCAACTCCTCTGTTGGATATAAATGCCCCTCTTGGGTACGGGCAAAATACACTGGCAAATTCAGTCTGGGTGGTTTCTTAATGGTTGGAAAGACATGGCTTGAGATAAATTCCCATCTCCTACCCATGCTTGTAATAAGGTTGGGATTTTGTTTGTTTTTGCAAATGTTTGCCGCTGCTTTTCAACAGTTTCCCATGTTAGTTGTGCAGAACTAAGGTGGGGAGCAATACTAAAGAGTTAACCATTATGCCAAATATATATATTTAAGTATTTGCCAGAAGCCTGATAGACAATGAGCTTTATTGATCAAAATAACACTTGGTTATGGACGTGGCTGATGCTGAGTAAATCCTGGTTATTTTTGTTAGATAAATTCTCACCTATAGACCTAAACGGTCAGCCTGTTAGTGTCTTGTTATAGTTGAAATATATTAAAAATATGTATATAGTTGTGTTTCTATTGTATGCACAATGAAAGAAAAAAGATGTACCATTTCTCTGTTGTGTGTTGAATTATGTAGGAAATGTGTGTGAACGATTCAGAGAAAAAAAAATGTTTTAATGGAAAAAGTTCCTGTGGATGTTTTGTGTAGTAGCTTGGCATCTGTATTGCTAGTTCAAAATCTGCATCTAAATAAAACTTCCATGATGTTAGTTTTGATGTGTGCCCAAAATGAAAAGGGGTTGATTGATACATACAAAGTTTATTGAAATGTTCCTCTTGTAAGGAAATACAGTAATCTTAAATCTAAAAAAGAATAAATAAATCTTAAAAAAAAAAAGTTTTATATCGATGGGTTTTCACTGTGGAATCTAAGAGGAGACTGCTCAGACCCACAGCATGAAAATGATTAACTGTAAATCAACACCCCTGTAAATCTGGTAGGTCTACTCCAAAACAGACACCGGGATGAAAGGGGTTTTGTTGTTGTTGTTGTTGTTGTTGTTCTTTAATTTTTTTTAATAGATAAAAGTCCTGAGAAAGAAGAAGCAATGTTAATTCTTGAATTACTTCGCTTCAAGTTGCCTCAGACTCTGAGACCCCGGTTCACTGGTAGCAAAATTGCAGTTATGAAGTAGTAACGAAAATAAATTTATGGTTCGCGGTTCCTAAGACCATCGGAATATTTCCGATGGTCGCGACCCAAAGGATCGAGGAGGAAGCCTCCCCCTCCCTCTTTTTTTTTTTTTAAGATGCCCGAAATGGCTCTTACTCTTGGAGCTGAGCCAAGCGTCCCTCCTTTCATCACACACAGGATTGTGAAGCCCCCTGTTAAAGCTTTCTGCACTTCATTTGTGGAAGCCCGAGGGGACTCAGCCCCAGCTTAAGTATTTGTTGGGGGCAGGGGGAACTCTTGTTTTTTCCTGGATCTTCCTCTACCACAGCAGGGGATTTGACAGCGAGGACAAAGAGGGGCGCAGTGAAAACATGGCGGCTGGGGCTGCGCAGACTCCAGGATCGGGCGCAGCGGCCCCGCGCTGCCCTAACTCTCCGACTAACTCGGATAACTTATTAGTTTCTACACATCAGGTTTTACCAGCTCACCTTAGATACTAATTGCGCTAATGGGCCGTCTGTGTGAAAACAGAGCGACTGCTGTTTTAGGATCGTTCTGTCTTAGATTCCGGGCTGAGATGCTGACTCCGGAGTGTGGAGTTTAGCTCTCCCGTTTCAGACACAAGCATGCTTTTTCTTGGTCGGCTCTTAACCGCTTTCCTGAGCCAGACAGGCAGACCCTCTGGCTCTGGGATAGGAAAAAGGAGGGCAAAAATGCCCAAGATACTATACACACAGGGTTAAAGAAAAGCAGGCTGGTAACATTTCTTAGAGAGACTTGGAAAGCTAAACCTTTTTCCTCCCATCCTCTAGTTTCCCTTAACTACCCACGGGCTCAGCTTCCCTGAGCCAGAATATGTTTATGTTGTCATTTTAACATTTTGTTTTAGTTTCGATACAGTTTTTTTTTTTTTTTTTTTTTTTTTGGTTTTTCAACACAGGGTTTCTCTGTGTAGCTTTGCGCCTTTCCTGGAACTCACTTGGTAGTCCAGGCTGGCCTCGAACTCACAGAGATCCACCTGCCTCTGCCTCCCGAGTGCTGGGATTAAAGGCGTGAGCCACCACCGCCCGGCTCGATACAGTTTTTACATGATACCAACAAAGAGCAATAAGTACTCTGCTGGGTCTTAACGCCTCTGGAGGTAATTGTTCCTACTCGGTCCAGACATGTCCTACTCACATTTTCCATTGGACGGTTGCTTTGCGTAAGAATAATTGATGTCTGTGCCTTTAAATATGTCATAAATATAAAAATACAAACATTTGAAGGTTTTTAAAGACATTTTTACCTCTACTATCTCTTTAAATACAAGCTAGTAACCAAATGGGGTTTTTTTAAGGTCCAATACAGGGCTTCTGTCCTATTTTCTAAGTTAATAACTGCTGTCCCTACCTTAAAAGAAAAAAGGGGCCGGGCGGTGGTGGCGCACACCTTTAATCCCAGCACTCGGGAGGCAGAGCCAGGAGGATCTCTATGAGTTCGAGGCCAGCCTGGACTACCAAGTGAGTTCCAGGAAAGGCGCAAAGCTACACAGAGAAACCCTGTCTCGAAAAATCCAAAAAAAAAAAAAAATTAAAAAAAAATAAAATAAAATAAAAAAGGGGAGATCAACCTATATGGCTATAAAAAGATATGGTATTAAATAATAAAATATGGATATGAGATAAAAAATTAATAAATAAAAATTATACATAAAAGATACAAATTATAAATAAGAATTTATATATAAGATTAAAGTAGACATGTTTACAAAAGGAATAACTTAAAAACCTTCATAAGTTTTTTTATAAGTTATAAAAGTCTGATAAGTTACTTAAAGCACAAAAAAATTATGAAAAGACATAATAATATATATGATATTAAAGTTTTTAAGGTTTAAAATTAACCATTACCAAAAAAAAATTATGTATGCCAAATTTATTTTAAATATATCTGGCTTTTTAAACATTATGTAATAGTTATTTGTCAGATTGAGGTAACTGATGTTCTAGATGTTTCTTTTGTAGTATCTGCACTACCCTCTTAAACTATACTGGGATATCATCCACCACTCCTGTCATTGGTGACTCAGTACCAATATGTACCTCTGATCTGAGTGACCCTTGAGGACTATGGCTTTGGAGTCTGGGAGGGATTCACTGTACAGTTTTTCAAATATTATCAGTTCATTCATCACTTGAGTTTTCCAGTCTCTAATTGCCCACAGGTTACCCCACTGGCTGGACATTTCCCAGTGTACAGTGAGAATCTGCTGCTGGGGTTTCAGAATGGAATTCCCCCTTGAATAGTGTGCTCCACAGCTCTAAAGAACTCTGTGCCTCCGAGTGGACAGCCTGAGGTGCTGATCAACTTCTCCTGGAGGTGCCCACCTGGTCTGGATGAAGATGACTTCCTAGGAAACCGTCACAGGCCTGATCCTGTTATAGCACTGGTCCTCAACCTTCCTGATGCTTTTATACAATTCCTCATGTTGTGGTGACCCCCACCACAACACCATTTTCATTGCTACTTCATAACTGGAAGTTTGCTCCTGTTATAAATTGTAATGTAAATATCTGATATTCCCTGTGGTCTTAGGTGACCCTGGGAAAGGGTCATTTGACCCCCCCAACGGGTTTGTGACCCACATGCTGAGAACCACTGTGTTGTAGAGTCTCCAGGGGATGATGTTCAGCCAAACCTTTGGCTGTTAGACACAGCCCTGAACAGTGTGAGAGTCTATGGGACTTTTGGAGAAGATGAACAGTTATGACATGATCATCCTTTCATATGTTATTTCATAATACTGCCCTCCATATATGTCACTGCCTGGGAGTCCCTGACCCAACAAATAAGTGCACATTGCCCATTTTGTTAATCAGTTTGCTTATAATACTAACGTGGCTTCGTCAACACAAGAATGTATAGACACAAATGCCGGGTGGCAGTGGTGCACGCCTTTAATCCCAACACTCGGGAGGCAGAGGCAGGCGGATCTCTGTGAGTTCGAGGCCAGCCTGGTCTACAGAGTGAGTTCCCGGACAGGCACAAAGCTACACAGAGAAACCCTGTCTTAAAAAAAAAAAAAAATGAAATGTATAGACACAAACATAGAAGCTTCATCACATATTTTAAAAGCTGTGGTATTACACCTAGGAGATACAGTACAAACAGCACAATATCCATTAATTCTACAGTGCCCTGCTGGCTCTGCACATGTCTGTGTCACTCCTTGGAGCTATAATGAATCACGATGGAAATGGGATAGAATTAAATCACTTACGGGGAATATGGCATCACAAAAATGTTAGTTTAGCTTTACTAACACTCGGGCAATTAGTTACCGACCTGGCCTGTGTCGCCTCGCATTCAATTTCCCTTCAGCCCTGGTTAAAGATTTATTACAGGAGGTACAAGGATCTGACCCTTTTAACAGCCTTCAAAATGTGCTTTCAGCATTATGCTCAAGTTACTTATGTTGATGATTCATTTGACAATACTAGATATGCAAACATGAATTAACTTGTCTCACCTTAAAAAAAATAGGAGGAGTATTTGGGAACTTCTTATGGGCGGGCTTTGTTGAAGGCCAGTAAGTAAGTGGAGCTAAAAAGGGTGGAGCTGACATTGCTGGCTTTGTTTATCACGAAGCCATTGAGAGGGAAAAAATGGAAGCCAGTTCTGTAAACCCCGGACTCTTCCTGTGTGTCTCACTGCTGCTGTTCACGGTGGATTCAGAACTATGCTGCCTCCGGGGTGAGCTTTGGGCAGGGTGGGGATCGTCCCTGTGAGGAGGGGAGGGGTGCGGATTAAGTCTGAGAGCTTGAAACTAGGAAAGAGTAGAGAAAGGTGAGGAAAGGGGCGGGATGGGGAGGGAGGCTTTACTAACTGAAGAATAACTGAGCCCTTTTGTAAAACATGCGGGTGGGTGGTCTAAGTGGTGTGTTCACAGGTTGGGGAGGCTTCCCTGTCAGCTCCAGGGTACGTGAGTACAGGGGTGCACTGACTACTTACTACACTGAAATCAGGAAGCCTCTGCAGGCAGGAACTGTCTGCTCTTTGTCCTACAGCTGCGTGGGTGGCCTTCTAGGGAGGAAGTGGGGTGTCTGCAGCTGGGGAAGGATGTAGGGAGTCTCTGGCACAGAGACCAGAGATGGGTGAGGGATTTTAGTGTCCCCTGCCCTCGAGACACTCTCGGAGTGGTTGGTGTCACCTGTGCACAGAGACAGTGGCTTAATCCCTGGGGGGCTGGGAGGGGGCTGTTAGTTATTTCCGGTGCTGTGCTCTTACCCTGCAAGGAAATGTCATGGAACATGACAGAATCCGCTAATAAGAGTTTTATTAAGGTAAAAGGGACAGAGAGTGCTCAGGCCTGTGGGAGACACGTGTGTAGAGAAGAAGGAACCGGGAATATGGCGCCAGTTTATAAAGGCTGGGCATGCACAGGTCGACGTAACTGCTCTACACATGTGCGTAGATCACATGGCTACGCTGCGCGCTTACGTAAACATGTAAAGTCACGGATCCTGGTCATGCGAGATGCCTAGACCAGGAAATGGCTATCTTGACCTGGAACTGGCTAGGCAGAGGTGTCCAGATCCACCGGGCATGCGCAAACACACCCAACGCTGCACACTTACCTAAACATGCAAAGTCACGGATCCTGGTCACGCGAGACGGCTTGACTCGGAAATGGCTATCTTGATCTGGAACTGGCTAGGCAGAGGTGGCCAGATCCGCTGGGCATGCGCAAACACACCCAACGCTGCACGCTTACCTAAACATGCAAAGTCACGGATCCTGGTCATGTGAGACGCCTTGACCCGGAAATGGCTATCTTGACCTGGAACTGGCTAGGCGGAGGTGTCCAGATCCGCCGGGCATGCACAAACACGCCCAACCGTGGGGGCATGTTGTGAACCCTTCAGTGGCCCCGAGGGTAAGAGTGGGAGGGGCTTGTGTTGAAACCAGCAGCTGGAGTGGGAAGGGAATGACCTGCCAATAAGGTGAAAAGAGCCTTGGCAGCCGTGGGACCGAACTGGAGGATGGTGTTGGGGAGGGTGTGCAGGATCTGGCCTGTTTGAAGGGAGGAGCTGGGGGCTGGAGTCAAAGGGCAGCTTCAAGTCACCCAGCTGAGAATCTCCTCTCCATTCCCTGGATCCCTAGATTGTTATAGAAGATTGCTCTTTTAACATTTGGAAGAATTGCTGTTGTTGTTATTGTTTGTTGTTTGAGACAGAGTCCCACTATGTATCATTTCTGACTGTCCTGGAACTTGCTGTGTAGACCAGGCTGACCTTGAACTCCTAGAGATCTGCCTGCCTCTGCCTCCCATTGCTGGCATTGAAGGCAGGAGCCACTATGCCTGGCTAGAAAAACTTATTTTCTTAATGGGAAATAATTTCTGTGTGTGTGTGTGTGTGTGTGTGTGTGTGTGTGTGTGTGTGTGTGTATGTGTGTGTGTTTCAGCATGTGAGTGTGTAGGGTATTGCACAGGACAGAAGAGCAGGGATCTTCCTCTATTGTCCTGAGACAGGATCTCTCACTGATCTGAGAATCATGGTTTGAGCAGGCTGGCCAATGAGTTTTCAGGACTGCCTGTCTCTGCTCTTCAAAGCTGGGGTTACAAGTGTGTACAGCCAGGCTCTGCTTTTTATGTGGGTGCTGGAGAATGAGACTCAGTATCTAGTGTTTGCAGAGCGAGCACTCTTACCCCCTGGGCCATCTCTGGTCCCTCGTTTTTGACAGTGCCCCCACTGCGTAGTCCAGGATGCCTTGAAATTTGTCAGCCTCCTGGCCCAGCTACGGTTAGGACATGCACTACCACACTCAGTGTGTGTCTTTGGTTTTTCGAGACAGGGTTTCTCTGTGTAGCCCTGGCTGTTCTGAAACTCACTTTGTAGACCACTCTGGCCTTGAACTCACAGGAATCTACCTGCATCTGCCTCCTGAGTGCTGGGATTAAAGGTGTGTGCCACTATGCCCCACAGTGAGCTAATTTCTTAATCACCTGAAGGACCTGCTGACATTTTCTCTTTCTTTCTATGTCAGTTTTCATAAGATTACTTTTCTCTGGAGATGTTGGAGACATTCCCCATCAGAGGGTGCATGGACTACATCTGATGAACTGTGTGAATTTAACATTGTCACTCAGTCCATAAGGCACATGGTAAAGCCGCTGAAAGAATATTTGAACTAGATACAGAAATATTTCTGTCTAATCTACTCCAGATCCTGTCATGAGTCCTAATTCTCAGACACTATACATTTCTTCAGTAGAATTCCCATCTTATGTACTATTTAGCTCTTACACTGTGGTCATGGAAACTGGACCTACAGCTTCACACATGCTAGGAAAGGGCTCACCCACTTAGCTCCAGCCTCAGTTGCCCAAATCATATTTCTTTGTAACAGGGTCCTGTGCTGTTGTTCCCTTTGGGGGAGGGGGCCAAGCAGGCGCAGAGTCAAACCACACAGACTCTGGGAGAATGTCGAAACAACAAGCTCAGTTTATTCAGGAAGAGGCAAGTTTTATATACCCTCTACCCCACCCTGCGGGGAGGTCTGCTGGTGTGACATGGCTGCCTCTCATTGGTCCAGGTCATCTCCAGATCATGTTTCAGCTGCTGTTGCAAGGCCCTTAGACAGACCCAGGCTGGCTCTCAGAAAGTATCTTTTTTATTTGTTTGGGCCGGCTGGCCCTCAAGCCTGTTAGAGATGAGTCATCCCACACATCTTGTCAATTCTCTGGTGAAATCCTTTGTTCTTTCATATATTTTGTATGATTTTCTAATATTCCCTTAACATATATGAAACATGTAGTTTATTTTTCTAATATCAGAATTTGCCACCATTGTCTGGAATTTTCCTCTCTCTCTTCTATGGTTCAGACCAATGTCACCCAAAGATGTTGTAAACCTGGTCCAGTCTGTGGCACTATTGAGACCTTCTTTGGCACTGAGTTCAGGGAAAGGAAGCTGAGTCATTGGATAGAGCCTTAAAGAGGAGAGTGGGACCTGTCTTAGTTAGGGCTTCTGTTGCTATGAAGAGACACCGTGACCAGAACACTCTTATAAAAGAAGACTGGGCTTGTTTACAGGTTCAGAGATTTAGTCTATTGTCATCATGGCAGGAGTATGGTGGTATGCGGGCAGATGTGGCACTGCAGAGGTAGCTGAGAGACAGGCAGGCAGCAGGCAGAGAGAGTGACACTGGGCCTGGCTTGAGCATCTGAAACCTCAAAGCGGCCCCCCCCCCCCCCCCGTGACACGCTTCCTCCAACAAGGCCACACCTACTCCAACAAGGCCACGCCTACTCCAACAAGGCCACACCTCCTCATGCCACCCGCTGTGAGCCTATGGGGGCATTTTCATTCTAACCACCACAGACTCCAGTGTGCTCTTCCTTCTCATTTGCACTTTCTGCCTGTCGTGAAGTAGGCAGCTTCCTCCGCCATGTGCTCCCAGCACGCCTTCTGCCTTGCCGCAGACCCCAAAGCAATGGGGCAGACAGACTAAACCAAAACCTCCAGATAGAACCAAATAAATCTCTAGTCTTTCCTTCTTTCTTTTTCCTTTTGGAGACAGGTCTCCTCTAGCCATGGCAAACCTGGAACTCACAGAGATCTGCCTGCCTCTGCTTCCTGAGTGCTGGGATTAAAGGTGTGGACCACCACTCCTGACTCAAAAATCTCTATTCTTATTACACTAATTATGTAAAATATTTTGAGTAACAGACTAACAAACTTTTTGGGTCTGTGAGATGGTTCATCAGGTAAAGCAAGCCTGACCACCCTATTGCAACCTCCAGAATCCATGCAAAGATGGAAAACCACAGCCTTCAATTTTGACACTTTGTTTATGTGTATGATTTGTGAGTATATGACGTATGTGTGTAGATGCCTGTGGAGGCCAGAAGGAGGTGTCAGATCCCATGGAGCTAGAGTTCCAGGAGGTTGTGAGTCACCTGATGTGGATACTAAGAACCAATCTCTCGTCTTCTGCAAGAGCAGCAGGCACTTCTAACTACTGGGACATCTCTTCAGACCCTCCATAACCCTCTTGATTACCAACCATGGAGTAGTACCCTTTCATGTGACTGCGTGTTTATACTGAATCCTAGACACTGCATAAAACACTTTTAGATTCTGTAGTGCCGTCTACTGTGGGTTTTCTCACATCTCTTTAGCACTTCATACGAAGGCTGACCACCTCTGTGACTCAGGATGGAGCCCCTTCCACTGATTACTTTCTAGACCTTTTCATTTAACATATGCTTTAAGCTGTCTTCTTTAGGGAAAATTTTAAGGCGGAACAGAAAAAGCATTATCTTTTAAAATGTAAAAATGTTAAAAATTCAAAGTTAGTGTCTTAGGCTCTTATTGCTGTGAAGAGACACCATGACCACAGCAACTCTTACAGAAACCTTAACTAAGACACCCACCCACCCCTTTTTCCAAGACAGGGTTTCTCCCCCTCCCCACTCCATTTTTTCAATTTGTTATTTAAGTATTTGATGGTGTCATTCCACAACAGCTTGACTCTGTGAATGGCAAGGGATTTCAGTAACATGATTAATATTCCATAAATTGCAAAATTCTTTGAAGCCCTTGCTGGGAAAAGCAGGATCCTTACCAGTTGTTTAGCTGCAATGGGAGTCTTAGAAAGAACATGCATAGAGAGCTATTTGACAAAGCCAAGTTACAGATAGGACACAATGGTATTTTTCTGGGGCTCCCAAGATCCCACTCTCATCT